AGGAGGTACTTTGAAGTGCAGTACACTTCAGTTTTCCATATTGTGATATTCATACATAGAGTAATGTAAGTCAATAAAATAACAATACAAATGAGGGCACATTATGATGTAAAATATAGATTCAGACATGTTCAGTAAAACGTTTTGCGTGTTTCTTATGTGCATGTTTTTTGCAGTGGCAGCAGGAGATTTACGACACTGCGACTGTCATTACTGTGTTGCGATTAACAATGTTTTGACCTTTAATATCGCACATCAAATCAACACCACAGAATGTGAAGTATCTTCACGGTGCACGTGACCTAGGGCTGTTCCAAAGGCCAAAAGGTCAAGGGAGCTGCGGCGCCTACATTAACAGCCACCTGCAGATTGAAACAACAGCAGTTATCAGTGCTGAGCCGTGATTGGTTGGCGGCGGATGAGAGAAGAAACCACAGAGAACTAACTGTAATTTAGTCACCATCAGCGTGGCCTTGGACCAGACCAGATACAACACACAGGTGGCGCTGGCCTCCGCCGTGATGGCGCAGCTCTATTACTGCTGGGGACGTGTCATTTCCCTCCCCCACCACAACGCCGCAATCACAGTTACTCTGATATTTCTGTGGATTGATGTAATTAGTCTGTGGTCGTTCGGCGGAGAAGTAAACAACAATATTTGACAGTGTTTTTTTTTCTTCTTTTTTCTAGCAAAATGTTTGCCCTTCGACTATTTTAAAGCCAGTAGATCCAGACGATGGATTCAATTCTGAACTTTGATTCAGAAAATTTCCTTCTTCTGTCGTGGTTCCTAGTGGATTTTGAGTAACTGGAGTATTATTCCGGAATAATTTATTGTTCGTTATCTTTAGCCTGTGAAGCTGAGAAGTAACCGTTTGCATCCCCCCCAACCCCCGACTGAAGCCTGACGCCATTAAGAAAACCAGTCTTAAAAGTATAGAGTATAGTAAACTACCGTATACGCAAACATAACCTAAATTAAAGTATTTCTTTCATATACTGAATATATATATATAATTCCACATGTCCGCTATTTTCACAGTGAGTGACAGCCACTAGAGGGCACTCGAGGCTTGTGCACCAGTATCTGCTACACCTGCAAGTCCCGACTTATACTCCAGAGCGACTTATAGTCCAGAAAATACGGTAAATATATATATAGAGAGAGAGAGACAGAGAGAGACAAAGAGAGAGCGACTATAGTCAGTCAGTCTCCGTCAGTCTCTAAAATGACATTTAAGTGCATCTGATCTTATATCCAATTACCAAAAGCTGAGCCCGGGATTAAAGTGCAGACAATGGAAGGTGGAGGAGCTGGAACTTTCATACGAAACCTTCCATATGAACTGGAGCGGACGTCCAGGATTCCTTCAGTCATTACTCTTTGGATTAACAGGCCGGCGCCATCATCCTACCATACGCCATCATCCTACCATACACGCCTGAATATTACTGCCAATAAACTGACGGTCGAAATGGAAGGAATGTAACGTGCAGCAAAAACCATTTTCACACCTGAGTTTGAGAAAACTCCGAGGCTTCCCTGTTTGGAGTTTGCATGTAACGTGTGTGTGTTTTCATTGTCTCGTTGATTGTGACACCACTGTTGAACGGTCCCGCAGCACGCAGATCAAAGGGCGGCTTAATTGGAGTCGTGTAATTGTAGCACTGCGAGCGCCATCAGCTCAGCTGAAGAGGTAAAGAGTTCATCTCCTACTGACAGGAGGCAGGTTTGAGTCCAGCAGCCACAGACCTACACTAATACTGAAGCATTGGTTTAACTGTGTAAATGTGGGACATGAACACGTCCATCCTCTCTGTGTGGATGACCATGGAATTACAGAGTGTTGACCAGTATTTAAAAAAAAATATATTGTCATTTCAACTACTGATTTCACTGGGAAAAACAAAAGTTTCTTTATACAAATAATGCAAACATTTTGTTCTCATTTAGATATCCTGGTGATTGTATAACTGTGTTTTCACTCCAGGGTAAAGAGAATACCAGTCTATCCACTCTGCACTAATCTGATTCTATAATTAAACAAATTTATATAATTACATAATTCTATATAAACTGTGTTGCTGTTGGACTGAGTTTGAGGACTTGATGAAATGGCAGGGTTGATTTGTTTTGTTTTGTTTTTTTACCAAAAACTGTGACGTCATCCCTGCCATGAGCAATGATGAAGGTATTAGACACTGTAGGAATGTGATTTCATTAAGGTATTCAAAGTAATGACGTCGGTCTTGTTTCACTAAAGTACCCGGATTTAGAGGTGTTTGGTTGAAGTCTGGGCGTTTTTAATTTAAAAAAACCCAAAACAAAACAACAACAAAAGTGAATCTGGAAAACCCTGCAGCTCAACACGTTTCCAGGTGGAGTAGGCGCGGCCACAGAGCAGCAGCAGAAACAGCAGCAGCAGCAGCAGCAGCAGCAGCAGAGCATGAATTATGATCCGCCCTCAAACACTAACACATGCAGCCGACAGTCACCCAGAAGGACCCCGCAGCAGCAGACTGGGACTTTAACCAACACCTCCCGGAGTCAGACATGCGCTGGAAGGGAGAAGTGAAGGTGAAGTGTTGTGTCGTCGGTGACCGGGACGATGAGACGCCGCTGTCCTGCGGGGAGGAGGTGAGTGACGGAGGTAACTCCTGGCAGCCTGACCACACCGCACAGATTAGACAGGGGTCAGAGGCTGTCATTAGGGGTCACGCTTTCACACGCTTGACGCCTCTGTATTTTCACAAGTTAAAGAAACGTCGGGGAGGGGAAATTATCGCCTCTCCTGAATTTCTGCAATTAAAACTCAAGTAGTTAATGAGACCTCTTCACCTTTTGGTTACCCGCGGCAGACGTTTGTGCTGAACTTAGCCTTTTAATTGCTGTTATTAAATAAATCAGGCCCCTTTTCCTGCAGACCCGGCGCTGCTTTGTGATTGACGCGGCGTAATTGGCGCGTCGCAGTCCTCTGCGCCGCACACGCACATAGGCGCGCGCGCACACGTGTGTGCGGATCTGAAGAACATAATGCACACGGGGCTGAAGTGCCGCGAGTATTAGTTCGAGTGTTGTCTGTTTTTCCAAGTAATGACCACACTTGTCTTCTAAATGTCACTCGGGTTAATCGCCGCCGCTGCCGCCGCCGCCGCTCGGGCGCACGGCGCGTTTATTTAACGCAGCTGCGGCAGCGCTGTGCGGCAGTGTGAGCCGGCCTCCGTCCTGACTGCGGACATGTGTGAAGACTGCAGGGCAGACGAGGAGCTGCTGGGTAGATGCTGCGAGGACAGGACCGAGCTGATGGTAGGAGGGACCGGAGGGACATTTGGGGGGAACTGAGCTCAGGGCACAGATATTTGGACTTTTTGTTTTTTTTTTTTTGGAGCAGAGTTTGTGATGATGAAGTTGGAAAACAAACAAACAAACAAAATAACTTCACATAAAAAAGACGGGCGATTTAAAAAACCAGGCACAAAACGAACTTTTAACTGAACGTAACATTTCCAAAAGTTCGATTCTCAAAATTCTAGATTTTTTTTTTGACGTGTTCTGTCCCGTTTTAAGAATTTCTAAAAAAAAAAAAAACGTCATCCACGCGGATTTATCCACAGTTTCCAGGTAAATGAGTAATTCTGCAGTTACTTCATCCACGGCAGGCAGTGACAGGTGACCGCGGGTTTAATTCACACACACACACACACACACACATATATCATAGGTGATCTCATCAGCCTCGTTCCTCAGTCAGTCATGTGGTTGCCGTGAGTTGCGTTGCCGTGCGTTCTGTTCTAACCGCAGCTGTGCCGGCCGCAGGGCGCGCCGGTGGAAGTTTTGGATGAAGACGCGTCATCGCTGCAGGCCATGTCATCTGCGCCTCTGCTGGGAAGGACCGTGTGCGCACAATGCAACGAGGAAATCGTGGATAAATATTTGCTGAAGGTAAACGCATCATTATCCTCTTATTATTATTTATGTCCTTTCGATGAATCCACTTAGATGGAGTTGGTTTTTGTTTTTGTTTTTTTGCGCTTTGCATTGCTGTGGTTTCACTCTCGTGTGTTTCCACGTCTTTACTGTGATTGACTTTTCTTTTCTTTTTATTATCACTTATTATTTACTCTTTCTTGGCTTTAGGTAAACGACCTGTGCTGGCATGTGCGCTGTCTGTCGTGCAGCGTGTGCCAGACCTCACTTGGCAGCCACACCAGCTGCTACGTCAAAGACAAGGAGGTTTTCTGCAAAGTGGATTATTTCAGGTACGAGCTCTGACTTTATCACGGTGAAAGCTGCAGAAACCAAAGGTTTGCAAAAAAAAAAGAAGTAAAAAAATTAAAAAAAAGTATAGTAATGCCGTCTTCATTCGAGGCCACAGAATAATAATAATAATGTATTTTAAGGTACATGCATGTTTATCTAAAGCTAAACCTCACATCAAGTATTTGTATATTTGTATCCGAATTTTTTTTATGATTTTCTTCCTAGAAAATGTGCTTTATTTGAATTGAAAGTTCTATTTTAAATATGTATTTTCTTTTTCACGTGTCACAACAACGTTTTAAGGACCGAAATTAAAGCGAGTGAGTGTTGCGTAAAAAAAAAAATCCATTTAAAGAAATCACTGCGCTGTTAATTCCAAATTTTTGATTTATGTTTTTTTTTTCGTTTTTAACAGTTTAAATTGTTGATAGAAAATATGAAGAGATGTCGAGGCAACAGAGCAATAAAAAAAACAAAACACGTGACGTTCCCTGTTACTGTTTTGGTAACAAACAAAAAAAAAACCCAAACAGTCGTCGCTGGTTTAATTGGGAGATGAAATGTTCCGAATGTGAAACCAAGCCTCGGGGCTCGGGGTTCATTTTCTGATTCAGACGCGTGTCTCTGGACTCGGTCAAAGTCAAGGTCAAAGGTGATGAGGGTTTCAGGATTAACGGCTCCTCGTGCTCGTGCTCGCCCTCGTGCTCGTGCGTGTCTGACGTGTACTTGTCGCACTGACCTGCAGGAGGTACGGCACCTGGTGCGCGTGCTGCGGCAGGAACATCCACTCCACGGACTGGGTCCGCCGGGCCAAGGGGAACGTGTACCACCTGGCCTGCTTCGCCTGCTTCTCCTGCAAGAGGCAGCTGTCCACCGGGGAGGAGTTCGCCCTGGTGGAGGAGAAGGTTCTCTGCAGGGTCCACTACGACTGCATGCTGGACAACCTGAACAGAGCCGTGGAGAAAGGTCAGTCCGCGACAACAACAACAACAACAACAATAACATCTGGGATCAGTTATCGACATACACATCGGTCCAAATTTCCATTCAGATAAAGTGATTTCTTACTGATATTTCGATATTTATTCTGTTTATAAATTATTTTTAATTATTTTATTATTGCGGTTTTATTAAAGATAAAGATAGAAAGATAATAACATTAAACTACAGTTAAATTTTCCTAGTTAAATAAATACATAAAACAATTTTTTACTGTTAATTTAAGCATCAGAATTTTCTGATTTAATTTAAATGTGATTAAATCCCTTTGAGTGACTACATTTAGATTTCTATGATTAGTCATAATTTTTCAAATTTTTTAAATTTGATTTTTTTTTTATCTTTACACAATTTTGGGATTATTCTGACCAAAATTTGGAGGTAAAACTCCTCCAGAATGCTGTTAATTTTATGAATAAATTCTAAAGTTTAACCAAGAAAAATCTGAAGGAAATGGAGCAAAACACCATTTTAACCACCAACATTAAATTATAAGAATTTTCAAATGTACTGCAGATAAAAGAAAACCCTTT